AGTAACTGGGACTACAGGTGCAAGCCACCATGACCTGCTAATTTTTTTTTTTTTTTTTTTGGAGAGTTGGGATCTTATTGTGTTGCCAAGACTGGTCTTGAACTCCTGGGCTCAAGTGATCCTCCCACCTCAGCCTCCCAAAATGCTGAGATTACAGGCATGAGCCACTGCAACCAGTTTTCTTACCCTTCTAATGTCTGTGGATTCCATAGTTATACCCTCTCTTTCATTTGTCATATCAGTTATTTGATCAGTCTAGCTAGAAGTTTATAAACTTTGTTGATCTAAGAGTCTAATTTGGTTTTCTCTTCTCATTTATATCTGTGTTTGCTCTTACCTTTATTATGTCCTTTTTTCTACTTATTTTGTGTTTAATTTGCTTTTCCCCCCAACACCCTCCACCCCCAACTTCTTAAGGTTGAAGCTTTGCTAATTGATTTTAGACTTTCCTTCTTTTCTAAGATAAGCAGTTAAAGCTATATGTTTTCCTCTGAGCACTGCCTTGGCTGCACGTCACAATTTTGAGATACTGTGTTTTCATTATCATTTAGTTTAAAATATTTTAAAATTTCCTTTATGGTATCCTTTTGATACATAAATTATTTAGAAGAATGTTATTTAATTTAAAAATATTCAAGATTTTCTTGGAGATATTACTGATTCCTATATAATCTATATTATTTCAATCCTTTAAATTAATGTTGACTTGTATTCTAACCCAGAATATAGTCTGTCTTCCTGAATGAGTCATGTGAGTATGGTGTTTCTTTACAAATATTTATTTATTCATTTTAAGACAGGGTCTCGCTCTGTCACCCAGGCTAGAGTACAATGGTGCTATCATGGTTCACCACAACTTTGGCCACCTAGACTTAATCAATCATCCCACCTCAGCCTCCTGAGTAGTTGGGACTACAGGTGCATGCCACTAAGCTTGGCTAATTTTTGTACTTTTGGAGAGACAGGGTTTTGTCATGTTGCCCAGGCTAATCTCAAACTCCTGGGCTCAAATGATCCTACTGCCTTGGCCTCCCAAAGTGTTAGGATTATAGGCATGAGCCACCGCACCTGGCCAATGAGTGTGGTGTTTCTAGAAGTATCGGTTAGGTCAAGATAGTTGGTAGAGTTGTTTAGATCTTTACCTACATTTTTACTGATTTTCTATGTGGATGTTCTTTCAATTGCTGAAAGAGGTATGCTTCTAAACTCTGTTGATCACCAACTATGATTACAGCATTGTCTAATTCTGCCTTTACTTTTGAAATTTTTATGTCATACATTTTGAGGTTATGTTTACATTAGGTAGATACACATTTATGATAATGTCTTCCAGAATGATTGGTCCTTTCATCATTGTGGGACATCCCTCTTTGTCTCTGTTAATACCATTTACCTTGATTATCTATTTTAGCTAATATTAATATAGCCACTCTAATCTTATGATTATTCTTTGCATCATTTATATTTTTTCCATCCATTCACTTTCAGTCTGTGCCTTCATACTTAAACTGAATTTCTTGTAAATAGCATATAGTTAGGCCCGGCTATTTCTCGATTCTGGTCATCTATGTCTCATAATTGGAGTGTTTAGCCCATTAATATTTAATGTAATTATTGATATTGTTAGATTTACATCTATTGTTTTATTATTTATTTTCAGTCTGTCTCTTCTGGTTTTTCGTTCCTGTGTTCCCTTTTTCTTGCCTTCCTCAGGTCATTTGGATATATTTTAGAAGTTCTAGTTGGGTTTATCTCTTGGGTTTGCTTTTTTAAATTAGTTGCTCTGAGAGTTAAAATATGCATCCTTAACTTTTCAATCTACCTAAGTTAATATGCCACTTCATATAAAATGTAGAAACTTTGCAAATATATAGGAATTTCATTACTCCCCTGCCATTCTTTACACTAAAGGTGTCAAACATCTATATGTTTTATACACCCCACAAGACAATGTTATAATTTGTGCTCTATATTTACTCTGATTTAATTTGCAATTTCTCACTTTTTTTAAAAAAAAGATAGGGCCTTGCTCTGCTGCCCAGGCTAGAGTGCAGTGGCATGATAATGGCTCACTGTAGCCGCGAACTCCTGGGCTTAAGCAATCAGCCGCCTCAGCCTCCCAAGTAGGTAGGACTATAGAAGCACATCACCATGCCCGACAAATTTTTTAAATTATTTTTTTGTATAGACAAGGTCTTGCTATATTGTCCAGGCTGGTCTTGAATTCCTGAGCTCAAGCAATTCTCCCGCCTCCACCTCCCAAAGTGCTGGGATTACAGGCATGAGCTACCATACCCGGTCCAATATTTGCCATTTCTGATGCTCTGTATTCAAATATACCACCACATTTCTCAAAATTAGTTAAACAGATTACCAAAGCACAGCATTTGGCTCTCATCTGGCATGAATGCATAAATTATAAATAAAAAATTGCCTCAAATCTTTCCTTTTAAGCTTATGACAGTTAAAGCAATACCACTTGGCACTAATGTGACTATAAGTAAAACACAAATTCAGGAACTGGAATTGGATGACAGTACTGGTTATAAGGTAAAATGGTTACAAAATAATTCAGAATTACTTTTAGATTATAAATTGAAATAAAAACATTAAATATCAAACTTTGATTTAAAACTCTCAAAGGATGAAAGTTCCTTCAATTAAAAAAAAATAGGGATATTTTCAACTCATTTTCTTTCTTTTTTTTTTTTTTTTTTTTTTGAGACGGAGTTTCACTCTTGTTGCCCGGGCTGGAGTTCAATGGCATGACCTCAGCTCACCGTAACCTCCACCTTCCAGGCTCAAGCGATTCTCCCACCTCAGATCCCGAGTAGCTGGGATTACAGGGGCCCGCCACCACACCTGGCTAATTTTGTGTTTTTAGTAGAGACGGTGTTTCTCTGTGTTGGTCAGGCTGATCTCGAACTGCCAACCTCAGATGATCTGCCCGCCTCGGCCTCCCAAAGTGCTGGGATTACAGGCATGAGTCACTGCACCTGGCCAATTTCAACTCATTTTCTAAAGTGTCTGAATCTGTGTATCTGTGAACAAAACACAGGGTAAGACATAAGCAAGGTATAACTATATGTCTAAAATAAAATATGGGGCCAGACAGAGTGGCTCACTCATGTAATCCCAGCACTTTGGAAGACCAAGGCAGGTGGATCACCTAAGGTCAGGAGTTCTAGACCAACCTGGCCAACATGGTGAAATCTTGTCTCTACTAAAACTATAAAAATTAGCCGTGCATGGTGGTGAGCGCCTGAAATCCCAGCTACTCAGGCAGCTGAGGTAGGAGAATCACTTGAACCCAGGAGGCAGAGGTTGCAGTGAGCTGAGATCACACCACTGTACTCCAGCCTGGGCAACAGAGAGAGACCCTGTCTCAAATAAATTTAAAAAAAGATACAATATGAAAAGCATCTGTCTCTTTCCCCTTAAGGAAAAGAGGGATACCGGATATTTGGGGAAGCTGGCAAATTCATGAGAATTGAGAATGAAACTGACCTGTAGAAAACTTCAAATATTCATTCATTCATCCAACATTTACTGAGCTTCACTATGTGTCAGATTCTAAACTAAGAACTGGGGTTATAGACTGTCTTTAAGAGTCTCACAGTAACAAAAAAAAAAAAAAAAACAAACTAAATTGTTACTATGAGGCGGGAGTCATGAAAGTTTCCTTAAGGAGGTAACTTATGAACTGGACTTTCAAGAAAGAGCAAGAGTTACCCTTTTTTTGCTTGAGTATTTTTGTTTTTGTTGGAGGTGTATGAGAAAAGAGAGGAAAGAAATAGAAAGAGACTTTTTTAGCTGGAAATAACATGGATAAAAACAATAATCCTAAAAGACCATGGTCCATTTGAAGATTTATAAGAAGTGTGGACAAATGGTAGACTCGACCTATCACAGGACATCAGTACAAGGAACCCTTTGACATTATACTAAGAATGAACTTTGTGATCTTGAAAGAAGTGGGAAGCTACTGAAGGATTTCAAGTAGGGGAGAAATATGCATTACCCAACTCTTTCTCCCTTGCCTACCTCTACTACAGATACTAAGAAAGATAAAACCTCACATCCCAAGCCTCCTTTATAGTGACAGATGGCCTGTGGCAGTTCTGGCCAGTGAAGGGTAAACAGAAATCTAACTGAAAAGTCTTCTGGCAAATATTCAGATTTTCTGATAAATAACCATGGCTGGCTCTGCCCGTTCCCCTCCTTCCTTCCTTGAATTTAGACACCATGTCTGTAACTGTGCCAACCATTCTCCAACCACAAGGGAATGACCAGATTATTCCAAATATACCGAAAATGACATGGTAGAACTGCTCAAGCAAAGCCTGTGGCCATCTCTAGCTTTCTTGTTATGAGAAAATAGAAATCCCTGTTTATGAATAAACCATTTTCAGTTGGGTTTTCTATTACTTAAATCTGAATGTCTTCATAAGTTATAGAAGTTTTAATAATTAATTTGTCTTTTCAAATGATCTTTATTAAGTTGGTGTTGATGGGCTGGGGAAGGGGATGCAGAGAGACCTGTCCAGAGGTTTACGATAGGGCTTGAACCAAATAAACGGCAATGGGAATACAACAAAAGGCAGAGTCTAGAGACATTTAAAAGAGAAGACAGATGGCGCAGGATGGATGAGGGAGCCGTCTATTCTATCTTCTATATTCCTAGTTTAAAAAACTGCAGGGGTTTGGGGACTGGATGTGAGAATATTGCCATTCTCCAAAATAGGTACATACGATGTGGTAAAGGACTGATGAGTTCAGTTTTGGACATGTTCAGTTTTAGATGCCTATGGGACATCTATGGGAAAATGAGGAAAAAGTAGGTGACTCTGAACCTAGAGATCAAAAGTGAGGTCTAAATTTGATAGATTTCAGAGTAACCATGATATGGGGGTAAACTAAAACAGTCAGTATGGTGAGATCCCACAGGTAAAATCTGAATAGGCAAAAATGAGGCCCAGCAAATCTATTGCCAGAAAGTAGTGCTCGGTTGGGCAACACATATATTAAAATTGGAAAGATACAGAGATTAGCATGGCCCCTGCACAAGGATGAAACACTGAAACACAAATTTGTGAAGCATTCCATATTTAAAAATAAAAAAAGACAGAAAGAAGATTAGTAGCTGCCTAGAGTTAAAGGATGAAGGAGGGAGGGGAATAGGGAATAATTGCTAATGGGTATAGCTTTATTTTGGGGGTGATGAAAATGTTCTAAAATTAAATTGTGATGATGGTTGCACAACCTTGTGAATATACCAAAAACCAACTTAATTATACACTTAAATGGATGAACTGTATGGTATGTAAATTATATCTCAATAAAGCTGTTTTCTTCTTTTAAGTAGGCCTAAGACAGGGAATGTCAAGTTATAAGTAGGAAGAGGATTCAGTGCAAAAACAGAGAAAGCCAGGGCCAGAAAGGGGCAGGGGATTTAGAGGGTGTTGTCTAGAAACCAGGAAGGAAATATCAAGAGGGAATCAGTGGCCAATAGTACTGAATACTGGCTAGATCAACTAAATTAAAGACTAAAATAATCAATTTATCAATTTGGAAATAATTGGTGAGCTAAGTGTGAGTTGTTCTAAATAGTAGCAGCAGAAGTCAGATTAAATTAAGTTGAGGAATAAATGAGAGGTGAGGAATAGAAGGTAACAAAGAAGCTTTTTCAGGAAACTTTTCTTGTCAAGAGAAGAGTTGGTGGCATAGGGAGGTTCTGGGCTGTTGCTATTATTTCCAATAGTAAGCACATGTGATGTTTATAGGTAAGGGAAAGGAGCCAGCAGAGAAGGAGCGATTGAGGATAAAGAAGGAGGGGATGACTAATAGAATATCCCCCAAGAGATGGGAAGAAAAGAATTCACAACATAAGCATAAAATATCAGTGTGGACAACAGATGAATTTTTCACTGGACTGGGAAGGAAGGCTAAGATGCCAGTTAGTTCTTAGGTGCAATAAGTTTAAGGAGCTATTACTTGATGCATTAATATTCTTTGTGAGTCAGGAGATAAAAGGTCACTGGCTGAAGGTGAGGGAGTAGGCTTGAGGACTTCAGAAGAGGGTAAACATTTAGGAATAATTATTAGGAGAGAAATTTTAAAGGAAGAAGTTGAAAAGTTGCTACATACATTTCAAATACTTTTAAAAACTTTAATGTATTTCAGTCAATAAAAAGGTCTTTTTACATAATGAATTACCTGCAAATTTATTATACTTCGTATTAAACTTTGTAATGACCACACTAAACACATGAGCAGGTTGCCATAAATCCCTGGAGAGATGGTGTCTGCAGTCAGAATATAACCCAATGATGCTGATCCTTGGACCTCAAAAACATGGTACCCTTCAAAAGCTCAGCCTCAGGGTCACCAGAAAGGCCCCCAGCTGGCCATTTTCCAAGGCCCTCTGCAGCAGAAGCCATAGCTCTTTGTTCTCCCTGGGTCAAAGAAGAGTGATTGGGTTGTTTTGTTATAGTTGCTGGAAAAGAAATCAAAAGGTGATTTTTTTGCTTCCTCTTTTTTTTTTTCCTGAGACAGAATCTTGCTCCGTGGCCAGGCGAGAGTGCAGTGGCACTATCTTGGCTCGCTGCAACCACCACCTCCCAGGTTCGAGCGATTCCCCTGCGTCAGCCTCTGGAGTAGCTAGGACTACAGGATGCGCCACCACGCCCAGCTAATTTTTGTATTTTAGTAGAGACAGGGTTTCACCATGCTGACCAGGATGTTCTCCATCTCCTGACCTTGTGATCGGCCCGCCTCGGCCTCCCAAAATTCTGGGATTACAGGCGTGAGCCACTGTACCCAGCCTGCTTCTCTTAAGAGGACTCATAGCAGGTGCCCTCCTAAAGTGTTCAAATAAAATAATGCTATGTCAAAGCCTTTTGTTAACTGTCATGTAGTATACACAAATCATTTCTATTGTAGCTGACACCTATGTATACTTCCAGCTCTATATTCCTTTACGTGATCTCAACAGTCCCTCTCTCTAACCATACTGGTGTACAACGAGCCCTGAAAACAGGCATGTGCTTTCCTAAATCTTGTCAATTCTCAAGCCCTTATACCAACCTGGGATTTTGCTCTCATTTTCTCTGAATCTACTCAGGTATAGTAGGCCCCACTTATCCACCACAGATCCATTCCAAGACCCCAGTGGATGCCTTAAACCATGAATAGTACTAAACCCTATACATACTATGTTTTTTTCCTATACATACATACCTATGATAAAGTGTAATTTAATTATGTAAATCTGATACAACACATTGCCATCAATCAGAATATGTTTTCTATTCATGTCTTCCACCCACATATTTAATTTTTTTCCATCTTAACTAAGCACTTATCATGCACTATGGCCATAACTTTTAGAGTTTAAAGTGTGACAGCAAAACTATCATGAATTTCTTTTTCCTTCTTCACAATTTCACAGATAGAGGATTCATTCTTGTGGCATATCTTAGAAGCTTCAGCACACGATTTTTTTTTCCTTTCCTTACTAAGTCAAGAAGTTTTACCTTTTCACTTTAAGGAAGCATTTTATGGCTTCTCTTTGGCGTATCTGAATTGCCAGCATCACTACTCTTGCACTATGGGGCCATTATTAAGTAAAATAAGGGTGACTTGAACACAAGCATGGCAATACAGTTGACAGTAAACCTGATAACTGAGATGGCCAGAGTATAAAGTATGGATTTGCTAGACAAAGGGATGATTCACATGTTGGGAAGGACAAAGTGGGATTGGAGAAGGGCAGCTCAGGGTTCCATCGTGCTACTGAGAATGGCACGCAATTTCAAACTTATGAATCATTTATTTCTGTAATTTTCCACTTAACATTTTTAGACAACAGTTGGCCATGGGTAACTGAAACCATGGAAAGCAAAACCACAAAGAGGGGACTACTGTACTTACCATACAACCTTCAGGCTTCAGCATAAATATCACTCCTCTTGCAAGGCTTCTCTAATCACTTGAGCTAGAAGCAACCATTTCACCAGAACTATTCCAACCATTTCTTTTCTAAACATAATTTCTTACTTGGTATTTACCCTAATGATGTTTTTTTTATTTACCTGCCTTAAGCACCTAGAAGACAGGAATCACGTTTTCATGGTGCCTTTACAGCATGACACTTTGTATGTAGTAGATACTTGGCCTATTACTTCTGGAAGGGGCTCAGAGATCATTCTCACATTACCAGTCAAAATACAAAAACCTAAGTCTCAACGACAAAAGAGACTTGACCAAGGTGACACAGTTAGTTCGTGGCAGAGCTAGAACCCAAAACCAGAATTTTGAACTCCTATTCTTATAATCCTTACATTATGCCAATAATTATTCTTATTACCCTAGTTCTATTTTGCCATCCAGATCTCAAAGAGAGTCATTCTTGAGCCTTAAGATTACATAAAGATGCAAACTTCTCTGGAAAATATTTTGTTTCAATTCTAATTTAGATGAATTTAATTGGCTTGGATGCATGAAAAAAAGTGGGAGTTTTTTTTGTTTTTTGTTTTTGTTGTTTTGTTTTGTTTTTCTGTTTTGTCACCAAGTAGCTAAAGTCAGGGTTAATTATACGATAGTGTTGACTCTGGTATGATAAACTCTGCGAATAGGATTCATTTGTCTTTTTTACATACATATTGGCTGTACACTTTTACACAGCAGCTTCCGATGCTCTCATCACATTTGTGATTCATAGTTGGAAACGGCACAGCAGTTCAGTTAGCACAACAGAAAAAAAACAGTAACTATAAAATTTCAGCCCTGATATTGGGAGTGACCTAGAAGGAACTGTCAAGGGCAGGGGCTCCATCTCCAACCCTTTGTTAGCCCTATTGTCGAGCATAGTACTTTGGACAGAAAGAGAAAATAAATGTGTTTATTTGAAAAATAATTGGGTGACACTCAATGAATACTACATCATGTGCACACTTACAACTTATGGCTGACTTAATCAGTATAAATTAATTTAGACCTAAAATGTAACTCTAGACAAATAATTTATTTATAAAGATAACCTAATTATAAAGGATTGCTCAATAATAAACTATCACTTTCCCTAATCCACTAAATTAGGTAATTCTTAATGAAAGATGAAAATTTAATAAGATGCTGTGAAATGTGGTTATTTTGCTGGCCATTCTCCATTGATTTGGTACAGGGACACTTGAGGAACATAATGAGGACAACAAGGCTTAGGTGGACCATTGTTTCATTTAGGATAACTTACATAATCACTGGAAAAAACTAAATGATTTGCCAATTCAGTATTGTAAGAAATGTCAACTAAAAACTCAATTTCTTTCAGCGAAAATGTTGGGCATATTATTCTCTGGGCTGTGAGTGGCATGATTCAACACCACAGGACAGATAATACGTAGCCAGATAATTCTTGTGTTATTCAGTCCTTATCTTGTTATGTGACTCTTTGGGAACTGCTTAACTCTTGGTTCCTTTGCCTGAAACAGGAAATGGAGATATTTACTCAAAAACTGGTAGATATAGAACACACTCTTCTCCTTCCTTATGTCAGACAAGGCTTCCCTTATTCCACTGAGCTCATGAATAGGGATTATTTACCACTATTCACTCTGGATATTCTCAAAGGGCATTATAATAGTCTCCATTCTACTGAAGTACTCCCAAGACCCTTTCTTATAATCTAATGGTACCTCAATTACCCATATCACTTTCTGAAATTTCCTTAAAATCAGGATTGTCACAGCCTGACATTCACCACAGGAATCTAAGGTAACAGGTAATCACTGTTGAAACACACAGCATAAAGCATTATAAATCCTCAGGAAAAGTACACTTCTTAGATAACAGGATTCTAGAAACCAGAATGAACACTTGGTTTCTAGACTGTCTTACTACATCAACGTGAAATCACTTCTCTTCATTAGCTGTTTAGAACAACAAGAATAAAAACACTGTATAAGTGTTTAATAAGGATACAGAAAACACATATTTCTGTCTATTACTGAAGTTACACTGTTCAGGCCTTGCTAGCGGCATTAATAATTTCACATTCTCATATGCTATTTATTAACATTTAGAAGACTACTAAAAAGCTAGTAAAGTTTG